ACCAACCCTTATGCTTATGTTTTTCGAGGCATGGGGAGAGTTTTATGGTTTCAGGTTTTTTCATTCAAGTCTTTATTGTGAGTTAATTTTTGTGTATGGTGTAAGAAAGTCCAGTTCCCAGCACCATTTGTTGAAGAGACTGTCCTTTCTCCATCATATATTCTTGCCTCTGTCATAAATTGACAGTAGATGAGTGGGCTTATTTCTGAGGTCTCCATTCTGTTCCATTGATTTATGTGGGGTTTTTGGGGTTTTTGTTTGTTTTGGGGTTTTTTGTTTGTTTTTGGTCAATGTCCTACTGTTTTTGATTACTATAGCTTTGTGATATAGTTTGAAATCAGGAAGCATGATGTCTTCAACTTTGTGTTTAAGATTGCTTTGGCTACTGAGCATCTTTTGTGGTTCCATAAAGTTTTTTAGGATTGTTCTAATTTTGTAGAATATGCCGTCGAATTGAGGGATTGCATTGAATAAAGAATGTTTGGGCAGCCCCAGTGGCTCAGCGGTTTAGCGCTGCCTTCAGCCCAGAGTGTGATCCTGGAGACTGGAGACCTGGGATCCAGTCCCACATCAGGTTCCCTGCATGGAGCCTGCTTCTCCCTCTGCCTGTGTCTCCGCCTCTGTGTGTGTGTGTGTGTGTGTGTGTGTGTGTGTGTCTCATGAATAAATAAATAAAATCTTTAAAAAAAAAAAAAAGGAATGTTAGGGGTAATAGGGTCATTTTGCAATGCTAATTCTTTTACAATTAACAATGCTAATTCTTCTAACACATGAACATGGAATATTTTCCATTTTTGTATGTGTGTCATCTTCAATTTCTTTCATTAATGTTTCATCATGGTTTTCAGTCTCTTACCTCCTGGGTTAAATTTATTCCTAGATATTTTATTCTTTTTGGAACAATTACGAATGGGATTATTGTCTTACTTTCTCTTTCTGATAGTTCATTAGTAATGTATAAAATACAACAGATTTTTGTGTATTGACTTTATATCCTGCAACTTTACTGAATTTGCAGTTTTTAGGGTTTTCTATATATATAATGTCATATGCAAATGGTTAGCTTCTTCCTTTCCAATTTATATGCCTCTATTCATTTTTCTTGCTTAATTACTCTAGTAGGGACTTCTAGCACCATAATAAAATAAAAGTGAATAAAAGTGGTTAGAGCAGGCATCCCAATCTTCCTGATTTTTACAGAGAAAAGTCAGATTTTCACCATTGAGCATGATGTTAGTTCTAGGCCTGTGTTACATTGAGGTGCGTTCCCTCTATACATGCTTGAGAGTTTTTATCATAAATGGATGTTGAATTTTGTTAAATACGTTCTATGCATCTCTTCGGATGATCATATGAGTTTTATCTTTCGTTTTGTTAATGTAGTATATGACATCAAGTGATTTGCAGATGCAAAGGTTTGCCAACCTTTCACCTCCAGAATAAACCCCCTTGATCATGGTGAATGATCCTTTTAATGTATTGTTGAATTTGATGTATTAATATTTTTTTAAAGAATTTACTTATTGGAGAGAGAGAGAGAGAGCATGAGTGGGGGTGAAGGGCAGAGGGAGAGGGAGAAGCAGACTCCCTGCTGAGCAGGGAGCCCAATGTGGGGCTCCTGGGATCATGACCTGAGCTGAAGGAAGATGCTTAAGCAGCTGAGCCACTCAAATACCCCGATGTGTTCATATTTTGTTGAGGGTTTTTGCATCTGTGTTCACAGGGATATTGGCCTATAATTTTCCTTTCTTGTGGTATCCTGGTCTGGTATTGGGATCTGTGTAATGCTAGCCTCCTAAAATGAGTTTGGAAGCAGTCTCTCTGCTATTTTTGGGGGAGAGTTTTTAAAGGATTGGTATGAATTCTTTGAATGTTTGATAGAATTCACTGGGAAATTATTTCATTCTGCACTTTTGTGCGTTAGGTTTTTGATTCCTGATTCAGCTTCCTTACTAGTAATTGGTCTGTTCAGATTTTCTATTTGTTCAGAATTCATTCTCAGATTATATGTTTTTAGGAACTTAGACATTTGTCCTATGTTGTCTAATGTTTTTACAAACATTTGCACATAAATGTTCCTCATGGTCCTTTGCGCTTCTGTGGTACCAGTTGTAACATTGCTTTCATTTCTGATTTTATTTTTTTAAATTACGTATAGTTGACCTGCAATATAACATTAGTTTTAGGTGTACAACATAGTGATTTGGCAAGTTTATACGTTATGCCATGGTCACCAGGAGCATAGCCACCATCTGTCACCATAGAATGCTATCACAGTATCTGACTCTGTTCCTGTGCTGTGCCTTTTATCCCTATCACCCCATGACTTATTCCCCCATAACCGGAAGCCTGTATCTCCCACTCCCTTACACCCATTTTGCTCATTTCTTCCACCCCCTTTCCTCTGGGAAACATTTGTTCTTTGTATTTATAGATCTGATTCTGCTTTTTTGTTTGTTCATTTGGTTTGTTTTTTAGATTCCATATATATGAATGAAGTCATATAGTATCTGTGTTTCTCTGTCTTATTTATTTCTCTGTTAGATCCATGTTGTCGCAAATAGCATGATCTCATCCTTTTCTGCAGCTGCGCAATATTCCATTGTATGTGCATTTGCTTGCATATAAATATATATATAAAATAAATTTTTTATCCATTTATCACTGGACATGTAGGTTGCTTCCATATGTTAGCTCTTGTAAATAATGCTGCAATAAATATAGGGTATGTATGGCTTTGAAATAGTGTTTTTTTTTCCCCTTTGGGTAAATATCCAATGCTAGAATTTTTTGGATCATATGGTATTTTTAATTTGGATCATATCTATTTTTAATTTGTCGAGAAACTTTTATAGTGTTTTCCACAGTGGCTCTAACCAATTTAGCTTCCCATCAACAGTATATAAAGATTCCTTTTTCTCCCCTCGTCAGCACTTGTTACTGCTTGTGTTTTATTTTAACCTTTCTGACAGATAGAAGGCGATACCTCCTTGTGGTTTTGATTTGCATCTCCCCGATGATGAGTGATATTGAATATCTTTTCATGTGTTGGTTGGCCTCTGGATGTCTTCTTTGGAGGAATGTCTGCTCAGGTGCTCTGCCCATTTTTAAATTGTATTGTTTGATGTTTTGGTGTTGTAGAAGATCTTTATATATTTTAGATGTTAATCTTTTATTGGATATAGCACTTGCAAATATTTTTTTCCCATTCAGTAGGTTGCCTTTTTGTTTTGTTAATTGTTTGCTTCACTGTGCAAAAGCCTTTTATTTTGATATAGTCCAAATGGTTTATTTTTACTTTGGTTTCCCTTGCCTTAAGAGATATATCTAGAAAAATGTTGCTATAGCCAATGTCAGAAAAATTACTGCCTGTGTTACCTTGTAGCAGTTTTATAGTCTCAGGTCTTGCATTTAGGTCTTCAATCCATTTTTAGAATATTTTATTGTAGGGTGTCAGAAAGTGGTCGGGTTTCTTTCTATTCTTTTCTTTTTTCTTTCTTTCCTTTCTTCCACATGCAGCTGTCCAGTTTTCCCAGCACTATTTATTGAAGAGACTGTCTTTTCCTCATTGCATATTCTTTCCTCCTTTTTTTGTAGATTAATTGACCATATAATTGTGGGTTTACTTCTGGGTTCTCTATTCTAGTCCATTGATAAATGTGTCTGTTTTTTGTGCCAGGACCATACTGTTTTGATGACTACAGTTTTATAGCATATTTGATTGAATTCGTCTGTGATTCCATCTGAGACTTTTTCATTATTGATTCAATTCCATTACTAGTAATCGGTTGTTTTGGATTTTCTATTTCTTCCTGATTCAGTTTTGGAAAATTATGTTGCTAGGACTTTATCCATTTAGTCTAGGTTGTCCAGTTTGTTGGCATATAATCTTTAATGCATTCTTTTATAATCCTATGTATTTGTGATGTCATTTGTTTTGGATTTTATTTATTTGGGTTTTTTTTTTGGTGAGTCAGGCTAAGGGCTTATCAATTTTATTTATCTTTTCAAAGAACCAGCTCTTGGTTTAATTTTTTTAAAAAAATTTTGTCTCTATGTCATTTATGTCATATGCTCTGATATTTGTTATTTTCTTTCTTCTACAAACCTTGGGATTGCTTATTCTTTTTCTAGTTCCTTTAGGTGTAGAGTTAGATGGTTTATTTGAGGTTTTTCTTTCTTTCTTTTTTTTTTTTTTGACATTAAAAAACTTTATTGGGTATTCTATTAGTAGTATTTTTTTAAGTTTAGTTCCCAGGCTGGATCCAATTTCATTTTCTTTTATCTTAAAATAATGATGGTTTTAAACTCTAGGCAGCAGGTAGCACATGGGCGATAAGTGAAGAAAGCTCGGGTATGGGGACTCAACAAGTATTTTTAGCAGGGAGGACTGTACCAGGGCTAATGTTTAGCTGGAGGAACATGGCTGCAGAGTGAAAGATAAGCTGCAGGCAGGGCTTGAGGGCAGGTGGGCTGAGAAGATGCCCCAGACACAGGTGGGATGGTCAAGGCTGGCCTGTGCTGGCTGCAGCAGGGCTCCCAAGCCAGATCCCGGTAGCGAAGTTCAACACGATTTGTGGCCGGCTGCTTGGATGAGGGGAAAGAGGGGATGGGAGAGAGAAAAGGTGGCACTGAAATTTAAATTTAGCCTCAACGCCAGGGCACTGGGATTCTGGTAGGAGCGCAGGCAGAAACAGGGTAATGGGGGAAGGGGGCTAGCTGGGGGTAAGCAAAATACCATCTGTGTCAGATGTTGAGGCCACAGGGACGGTGAGGGTGTTGGGAGAAAATCTCACAGGTAGTGTAAGCATGTGAATGCAGTTACAAGGAAGGATTTCACGTAGGAGGACTTCCGAATGGATGCAGGAGTCGTAGCCATGAGGATGGAGAAGCCTGGCGAGGGAGGTGAGGTGGCTGAGAGAAAAGCAGGAAGCCGTAATGCATGTACTTAAGAGCAGGAGGGATGAGGCCGCTACCTCTGCAAAAAGGGCAGGGAGGGATCACCAAGGTGAAGAGAAAGACTGCAGGATGAGCTGGTGATGCCCAGGGCCAGGGGGGCACAGGGTACAGGAAAGGTAGTGGGGTAAGCTGCTGGTTTTAGCCCATAGGCTTTTGTTCCGTATCATCACCTTTTTGGGTGTCCCCAACAGCTGGCAAATTTTGAAGATGGTGTCAATTTCACTGGCCCCCGGAAAGAGTGGCTTGAGGGTGTACACTTCTGCCATGATGCAGCCCACCGCCCAGATGTCAATGGGGGAGCTGTAGTTGGTAGATCTCAGGAGCACTTCTGGGGCCCTGTACCATCTGGTAGATACATAGTCTGTGTATGGGGGTCTCGATCGGATTTCTCGGGCCAACCCAAAGTCTGCAATTTTCACAAGTTCTGGGCCCACGCAGAGGAGGTTCTCAGGCTTTAAGTCCCGATGGAAGAAGCCGTGTTTGTGAATAAATGCAAGTCCTTGTAATATCTGATACATGATATTCCTTATAGCAGATTCAGGGAACAACTTATTTCTTTCTTTAATGAGCTGGTAAAGATTAAGATTTTCCTTCATGTACTCGAAGATAAAATAAAGATGATCATTTTCCCTGATAACTTCTTTTAATTTTACTACATTGGCATGGTTGAGCTTCTTTAAAGACTTAACCTCCCGAAGGTTCATGCATTCCTCCCAGGAATAAAACTTTCTTTTCATTTTTTTAATGGCAATCAGTTCCCCAGACTCGATGCTTCGTCCCAGTAGGACGGAACCATAGGTTCCATCCCCAAGTTGCTTGATTGTTGTGTATCTATTCATGGTGTGCCCGCTCAGGCTGGACACTCATCTCGGGGCCGAGGCGGTGCAGTCCTGCAGAAGCAGCAGGCCTCCCCAGAGTGTAACCAGATTTTTCGATGGCAGCACCAGCACAAGGTATTCAATAGAACGTGACTGTCTCCCAAATACATATTTTCAAAGATCAGTCTTCTGCCCGCGCCGCGGACGCAGGCGGGGGCCCGCCCCTGCGGTGAGCGCGGCTCCTGGGCGGCGGGGGCGCAGCGGCCCGCAGGGCACCCGGGGAGGGGGGCGACCGCCGCTAGGACCGGCCGCGCGGTCCGTGCGGGGACGCCCGGGCGCTCCGGAGGGTCGCACGGGCTGCGCGGCGCATGGTGGAGCAGCAGGAACCCCTATTTGAGCTTTTTCTTGTTTCTTTTTTTTTTTTTTTAATTTTTTTTTTTAAATTTATTTACGACAGTCACAGAGAGACAGAGAGAGAGAGAGGCAGAGACACAGGCAGAGGGAGAAGCAGGCTCCATGCACCGGGAGCCCGACGTGGGATTCGATCCTGGGTCTCCAGGATCGCGCCCTGGGCCAAAGGCAGGCGCTAAACCGCTGTGCCACCCAGGGATCCCCTTTTTCTTGTTTCTTGATGTAGGCCTATATTGCTATATATTTCCCTCTTAGAATCACTTTTTCAAATCTTTGAGACCCTTCTGTTTTCATTTGTCTCCGTGTATTTTTTAATTTCTTCTTTGACTCATTTACCATTGATTTCTTAGTATCACCTTGTTGAGCTTCCACATATTTGACTTTTTTTAGGTGTGTGTGTGTGTGTGTGTGTGTGTGTGTGTGTGTGAGAGAGAGAGAGAGAGAGAGAGAGAGAGAGAGAAGGGGGAGGGGAGAGACGGACAGACAGAGACAGACATTGGTTTCTAGTATCATGCAGTTGTGCTCAGAAAAGATGCATGGTATAATTCCATTCTTCTTAAGTTGATTGAGGTTTGTTTAGTGGCCTAACATGTTATCTGTCTGGAGAATATTTAGTGTGCACTTGAAAAGAATATATATTCTGTTGTTTGGGGATGGAATATTCTGTATATGTCTGCTACATCCATGTGGTCCAATGTGTCATTCAAAGATACTCTTTTTTTTTTTTTTTTTTTACAGATATTTTTTCTACCTGGATGATCTATCCATTGATGTAAATGGGGTGTTAAAGTCACCTATTATTATTATATTACAATTAAGTTTCTCTTTATGTCCATTTAATATTTGCCTTATGTATTTAGGTGCTGCAATGTTGAGTGTATAGATATTTATGATTCTTATATCCTCTTGGGTTGATTCATAATTATGTAATATCCTTCTTTTCTTTTTCTTTGCTCTTTGTTTTAAAGTCAATTTTGTCTGATAAAAGTATTGCTATTCTGGCTTTTGTTTTCCCCCTCACTTAGGTTTGCATTAAATGTTTTTCCTCCCTTTACTTTCAGTCTGAATAGGTCTGAGGTGAATCTCTTATAAACAGCATTTTATAAAAATCCATTCTGCCATCCTTTATCTTTTGATTGGAGCATTTAGTCCATTTACATTTAAGGCAATTGATAGGCATGTACTTATTTCCATTTTGTTATTTCATTTATTTCTGCTGTAATCTTTGTATATCCTCTTTTTTTCTAACTTGAAGCTTCATTTTTTCTTTGAGTTCCTTGAGGTATAAAAGTTGTTCATTGGGTCTCCCTATTTCTTAGGTAGGCCTTTATTGCTGTGAACTTCCCTATTAGAACTGTTTTTGCTTCCTGTTTTCATTTGTCTAAAGGTATTTTTTAAATTTCTCTTCCTATTTTTTCTTTATCTCATTTGTTCATTATCATATTGTTTAATCTCTGCATGTTTGTGGATTTTTCTGGTTTTCTTCATGCAGTTGATTGCTAGTTTCATACCATTGTGGCAAGAAATGATGCTTGATATTTCAGTCCTCTAAACCTTATTGTTCTGTTTTTGTGGTCTAACACATAATGTATCCTTGGGGGATGGTCCATGTGTACTTGAGAAGATTGTATATTCTCTTGCTTTTGGATGAAATGTTCTGTATATATTTATTAAATCTATTTGATCTAATGTGTTGTTGAAAGTCAATATTTCCTTATTGGTTTCCTATCTGGATGATCTTTACATTGATGTAAGTCAGTACTAAAGTCCCAGGTATTGTATTACTGTCTATTTCTCCATCTATCTATCTGCTCCTATGTTGGGTACACAAATATTTACAGATGTTATATTCTCTTGTTGAACTGATTGCTTTATCGTTACGCAATGCCCTTCTTTTTCTTCTTAGTACAATCTTTTTTTGCTTCAAAGTCTGTTTTTTTTCTAATGCAAATACAGCTACCCCAGGTCTTTTTTGTTTCCATTTGCATGAAATATATTTTTCCATTTCTTAACTTCCAGTCTGTGTGTATCTTTACATCTAAAGTGCATAGTTTGCAGGCAGCATAGAGATGGGTCCTGTTGTTGTTCTTTAATCCATTTGGTCACTCTGTCTACTAAGTGTAGAATTTAGTCCACTTATATTTAAAGTAATTAGTGATAGGTATGTACTTATTTCCATTTTGTTTTGTTTTCTGGCTCTTTTGTAGTTCCTCTGTCCCTTTCTTCTCTTGTGGTGTTAATTTTCTGTAGTGGTATGTTTAGATTCTTTTCTATCTTTTATGTATATATTGTAGATTTTTGCTTTGTGGTTACCTATGGCTTACGTATAACAACCTAAATCTCTATCAGTCTATTTTAAGTTGCTAATGCTTAACTTGGCATACATTCGATGAGCTCTCTCTCCCAATTTTTTTTTAAGATTTTATTTATTTATTCATGAGAGACAGAAAGAGGCAGAGACACAGGCAGAGGGAGAAGCAGGCTCCCTTTGGGGAGCCCAATGTGGGACTTGACCTCAGAACTCTGGATCACATCCTGAGTCCAAGGCAGACACTCAACTGCTGAGCCACCCAGGTGTCCCCCACATTTTGTTTTTTAACATCACATTTTATATCTTTTTATCTTGCATATCCCTTAACTAATTATGGTAAGCAGTTATTTTTACTGCTTTTCTCTTAACCTTCATACTAGTTTTAAGTGATTAATTAAACTTTTACTCTATATGTACTTTTCCAGTGAAATTTATTCTTTTATATATTGTTATTAATTAGCACCCTTTCTTTTAGCTTTTAAAGAAGTCCCTTAACATTTTTTGTAAGGCTGATTTAATGGTGATGAAAGCCTTTAGCTTTACTTGTCTGGAAAATTCTCCTTGTCTGGAAAATTCCTTCTCTCTCTTTCAATTCTGAATGATAACTTCGCTGAGTAGTGTATTTTGGGATTTTTTTTTCCTTTCAGTTTTAAATATATCATGCCACTCTATTCTGGCCTACAAAATTTCTGCTGAAAAAAATCTGCTGATGGTCTTATGAGGGTTTTCCTTGTACAATAACAACTTATTTTTTCTTCTGGTTTTTAAGATTCTCTCATCTTTAACTTTCAGCATCTTAATTATGTGTCTTAGTGTGGGTCTCTTCGAGTTCACCTTATTTGGAACTCTGAGTTTCCTGGATCTGGATGTTTGTTTCCTTCCCCAGGTTAGGGAAATTTCCAGCCATTGTCTTTTCATATAAGACTTCAGCCCCTCTCTCTCTTCTTTCTGGGATTCCTATAATAGGAACATTAATCCATTTGATGTTGCCCTTTAAGTCCCTTATGCTATCTTTCCTCTTTTCATTCATTCTTCTTTGTGCTGCTCTGGTTGGGTGAGTTCTGCTTTGTTTTTGAATTCGTGGATCCCTTCTTTTGCTTCATGTAATCTATTAAATGCCTCTAGTGTATTTTTGTTCAGTTATTGTATTCTTCAACTCTGCGACTTCTGTTTGGTGCTTTCTCATGTTGTCCATTCTTTGTTAAAGTTCTGTGTTTATCCATTCTTCCCAGTTTGGGCATTTTACAATCATTACTTTGACCTCTTTAACAGGTAAATTACTTACTGTCATTTCATTGTTGTTTTTTTTCTGCTGAGTTTTTATCTTGTTCTTTAATGTGCAATATACTTTTTTGCTGCTTCATTTTGCTTGGCTCTCTGTTGGCTTCTATGCATTAGATGAAGCAGCCACCTCTCCTAGTCTTGAAGAAGTGAATTCATGTAGGAGATAAACCCTGTTGTTCAATCCTGCCCTAGCTCTTGTCTTTCAAATATTTGTGCTTGTCCAAGCAGCCTATTATATTTTTAGTAGCTCCCAGTAGCTGAGGATGTGCCAAGACTTGTGAGTATCCCAGAGAAGAGGCTCTCTCAGCACCTGGATTCAGGCCGATTGGAAGCCAGACCCTCAGGCAGCAGCTTTCAAAAGTGTGCAAATATATAGTGCTCAAGACCACACACATAAGACCCATTGGCCACCAAAGCCAGGCAATTGGGAGGTATTTGCAAAAATGGGGACTCCAGAAATGTGTACAAGCTCTTTTCTGGGAGATCCTGCCAAGCTGAAGTAAGGCAGAAGGAGAGCACCAACATGGCATCTAACAGCATATGTTCCTTGAGAGCAGCTCCATAGGCCACTAGATGTGTGTCAAACCTGAAACCTCCTCCTTAGGCCCAAAGCTCCAGGACAAGCAAAGAGGTCTTCACAGAGACTGGAAGTGTGCCTCAGTCTACTGTCTTTGCAGTATCCTGGGGGGTAGTAGCCTGCCAAAAACTGATTGTTAGTCTTACAGTACCCAAAAATACAAACTTCCCTGGCTATGAAAACCAGGGTACCAGACACATGTAAAGCTCCATTCTGGGAGACACAGTGCTCTAGAATGCGGCAGAGGGAGAGTGCAAAGAAAGTGCCCACTTTTGCAGGTCTTTGGAAAGGATTACAGCCTCTAGATGCATGTTTTATTAGAAGCCTGTCCCTCCCTGCACCCCGATGTTTCTAGCAGCAATGTCCACAATAGCCAAACTGTGGAAGGAGCCTCAGTGTCCATCGAAAGATGAATGGATAAAGAAGATGTGGTTTATG